TGCATGCAGAGATTTAAAATAACCAGCTGTTTTCTTCTGTGAGAGGTATCTGTTCTGTGTCCTGAATGCAAAAATAGAAAAACGGTAGGTTATGATAGGCTACTTAATTCTATCACACTTGGTGCCCACAAGGGAGTCAAAACTAACAGCTGCACAAGCTGCCCAATATTTAAGTTTGCTATTGTGACAATGCTCTTTGAACACTGTTTTGTACATAGTACACAGTCAAGTGTGCACAGTTCCGAAGCCCTGAAACTCTGAAACACGAAGGGGTGAAGTAAGGTCATAGCAGCAGTCTTCACTTGGAAAAGAAATGCTGTCAGCTGAAGTCAGATCTTGAATGTTACTGCAACACACTGGATTTTTTTTGCATTTAATTAGATTTACGACCCACTTAGTTATTACAGGCTAGTTGGAAACAGACGTGTGTACATTCTACAGTCAACACATAGATGCTCCTCCAGGGAAACAATCATTGAGAACTTACAGGAATTGCATGCAACAGCCTTTGTTAGGAAAATGAAACCAGCTCAATTTGGTTACGTAGAACATTCATTTGTGAGAAGAACTGAATGAGTATATATATTTGTGAGGCCCAAAAAGCAGCTTCACTTGCAATGATGTTTTTCAGGCTTTGAATATTCAAATGGTAAAGCACCAAATATCTAACATCTCAAAGAGTAAATTACATAGTATCTCAGATAGCAAGCTCAGTCTAAAATGAGGTCAGAAAAAATACCTAAGTTTAAAATCATTGTATTATCTTTAAAAGTCTACCAACTGACTGTCACAAGAAGTACCCTGTCTTCCACAGAATATTACTTGAAGCTCGCAGATGCTTTAACAATATCAGTGGTGCATTTGTATAAGGAAGACAATTTATACAACTGAAGAAAAACAGATTACAATACAAATGGCCATCTGAAGAATTCCTGAATGACCAGGTCTGCTTGACTTTTTTCTGGCTACCACAGGAATAAGAGCAGAAAGTCTGTCATATTCCAGCAATCATTTCAGGAAAAAAATCACTATGTGAATTAAAATGTCCAGCTGCAAAACACATTTATTTACTATTGAACTTTTTTTCCACTTTTAACTGAAATCACAACTAACAATGACAATACTCAATGAAGCAGTGAACTGGTTATAATGATTAGCTTAGTCTTGCACTTCTTCTGAAAAAAATACTACTAACTGTGCTGGGGAGGTGTGCTTTCTTAAGTGCAGGATCAGGCTATAAGTAGCTGCTGTATGGCCCTTACTGTATGCAAGAGGTTGGTTTGGTTGTGAAAACAAAAATTTCTTGATCTGATATACAAAGTGTTATTCTACTTATGCCACACGAGGGGACACAGAATATAACATGACTGGATTGACACTCCCTTCCATGAAGAACTTCCTCCTGATGTCCAATTCGAACCTTTCCTGGTGCACCTTGAGACCATTTCCTCTTGTCCTGTTGCTGGTTGCCTGGGAGAAGAGCCAACCGCCACCTGGCTACAACCTTCTCTCAGGTAGTTGCAAAGAGTGATAAGGTCACCCCTGAGCCTCCTTTTCTCCAGTTTAAACAACCCCATCTCTCTCAGCTGTTCCTTGTAAGGCTTGTGCTCCAGACCCTTCATTGCCCTTCTCTGGACACGTTTCAGCACCTCAATGTCTTTCTTGTAGTGAGGGGCCCAAAACTGGACACAGGACTCGAGGTGTGGCCTCACCAGTGCTGAGTACAGGGGAAAAATCTGCTGTTAAAATGTTGTATGTGACCGGATTGCACTCTTGCTTACACAACTGAATACTGCCTAAATCAACATAGGTCATAGGCAAAAGCACTTCACCTGCAGACTTCAAATTTCATGACAGAACCCACCACAACATGTCGGTATCATCTTGTAAGAATCCAGAAACTGGAACAATAGGGGTCAATGAACCAACATGGAAATACATTATGACAGTGCAATGAGCATTTCTGGAAACAGAAGCTACAATATATCTAATGCAGTTGAATTTTACTTCATCTTCAAAGACTAAGAATCTTTCCAAAATATTTATATGACCTAATTTTTAAATAAAAAGGAGGTGTTAAACCCTGAAAATTTTCATTGGGGTGAAAGTTTAATTATTAATAAAGGAGAAAATTCTAAAGAGTAGTAAAATTTAAGACCTTTAAAATGACCATTCAACTTGGTAAATCAGTTATGAATCAAGAGAACGATGAAATGCATGATTACTTCTGTTGCCTCAAAAAGCCATGCATTTAGCACACCTAGTAGCCACTGTAAAAGACCATATAAAAAATGCTCAAGCAAACAAAGTGAAAGGTTTAGTTACTAAAATAATAATTTTACAAATTTTAGCTATGGGCTAACCACTTATGGAAAAGCTATAAAAGCAGCAGCAGCATCTAATTTCTAAAAAGAGAGAATGTGAGCCGTAGTGAAACAACAGAGGAAGCCTTTGACTTCAAAGTTGATGTAAAGAAAATTTAGCAAGATCTAAAAGATGCCACCAAAGGACTTCAAGAGATATAAGTTCATAATTTGCAGAAGTCTGTAAGCAGCCATGTAATCTTTGAAAGACTAGTAATTTATGTGGGATCTGAAGACAGCTGTGATAGTCTCAGTTTGGGATGACAAAAATGATTGTAGTTACGAGCAGCAATGGGTATGTCACAGATCCAAAACATCTACGAAGTGAGAAAGAGAAGGAACAACAATATGACAGTTAGAAATTCTCAGCAGGAATGCAACACAGCAAGGTCTTAAGAAGCCAGAAAATCACCTGGAGAAAGATACATAACAGCCACAAAACGCAGCAGAGTTCCAGTATCTAAATACTGAATTGTCTGTCAGTAAATCTGGGTAAGGTGGATAAGGTAACACTCAGGTAAACAGTAAGGATGATTAATTTCACACATGAACAAAACCAGCACCTCACCTTTGATGAAGACATTGAACTTGACTGTCAGAGATGTTCTGCTGTCCAAATTTAACACAGAATTTAAGTGCAGCCATTCACGTGAACTGGTGAAGGCATGGTGAAAGCTCAAGGGGGAGAAAAATAAATGACCCAGAAGAAGAGACATGTCAAAACTTTGTTCCTTGCTCATCCAGACACTGCTGAAACGACTATAGAAAAATTGCAAGGTACCGTACTTAGTTGAATGTGGACTCGCAGACTGGGATCAACAACTGAATCTGAACACACTTTAAGGCCAGCCCTGTGACCTGAAGGTCAAAAGGAATCCTGCAGATGTTTGTCTTAAGAGCAGCTTAATGTTTTGTAGCCCATCAGTGTATTACGTTTATGGCATATGAGCACATATGGTATGTTAGATGACAGAGTTTGCTACACAACTTCACCTATTACATGACTCAGCTGCAGGAAAATCCCATTTGCTCTGCTTTATCCATCCAGCTCTCTGAGTGCTGACTCACATGCACAGAAGCCAACAGCTGCAATGGTACAAATGCCAAACCACAGTTGTGCGCTCTCTCACAGCATCACAGAATATGCCGAGTTGGAAGGGATCCAAAAGAATCATCACGTCCAACTCCTGGCCCTGCACAGGACCATCTCCAAGAATCACGCCATGTGCCTGAGAGCATTGTCCAAATGGTTCTTGAACTCTGTCAGGCTTGGTGCTGTGACCACTTCACTGGGGAGCCTGTTCCAGTGCTCAACCACCCTCTGGGTGAAGAACCTTTTTCTAATATCCAACCTAAATCTCCCTGACATGACTTCAGGCCATTCCCTCGGGTCCTGTCACTGGTCACCACAGAGGAGAGATCAGTGTCTGTCCCTCCTCTTCCCCTCAGGAGGAAGTTGTAGACTGCAATGAGGTCTCCCCTCAGTCTCCCAATCTCCAGGCTGAAGAGAACAAGTGACCTCAGCCCCCTCTTCCTTCTAGATATTATCACCTTTCTAGCATGTACATCTGAAGAAAATCTCCGCACGGACTTCAGCTTTTCCAGCTCTCACAAAATCTATAGATTAAATGTATGATGAGGTAGTGGAGTACTGTTATCTGTTTGCTTCTGACACTTCAGCTACAAAGCAGTAACTGTACAGGGAAGGGAAGAAAGTGAGCAACTCTGAGGGTAAGATTCTCCATTCTCCCTGTCATGAGATAACTGAAACACAGTCAAAACAGGAGTTGCACAACCCCTGAGAAAGTCAGATACACAGATAGACCTATTCTGTGAAGCAATTCAGTGCAAGGCATTGTTTGACAAAAAGGTCAGAAGTTAGATCAAGGCCAGAGAAGCTGAATAATAAGAGGAGAACATACGTAACATAATACGAGACGAAGCTGAGAGTTTTGTGCAGGCTGCCGGCTGCTCTGACTGTGAGCAATGTGTTTGTGTGTCGAGACAAAAACTACATATTCAAGATTAACTGTAGATCACAACGTTTTGGGCTGTAAACAGGGAACAGACACGGTGATGTGCAGGTAAGTGAACAAACGTGTGCGGAGGATTTTGCACTGGCTAACGGCAGTGTTAAGCATTTCCACAAACCTGCACAACACGCAGGTGTGGCACCTCCTCCCGTTCTTCTTGTTTCCCACAGTAATTCTGCTGTATCTTTGTTTCTAATGTGCACCGTGCCCACCTCTGCTTTCCGTCGCACGTAGTGCAACCTCACGAACACAGCGCAGCTCCGACGGCTGTAGGTGAGGAGCTACCGTGGCAGTGCAATAACAGAGGTGACACCGAGCACAACAAAACTTACATGGAACCAAGCCAATCCGAGCCAACGCTTCCCAGAGCTGTGTGCGCGGAATTGCAGCTTTAATTCTTTATTTTCTTTTAACCTGAGGAAGCAGCAAGACTCGCTCTGTGGCCGCTTCCCTCCCCGCGGCCCCGGCGCCGCTCCCGGCGCGGCCCCGACGCCCGTGCCGCCGCCCCGCCCGCCCCGCGGCTCCGCGGGCGCTGCCCCGGAAGGCGATCGCGCCGCGCTCCGGAAGCGGAGCCGGGCAGGGTCCGGCCCAGAGCGCGGCCCTGTCGCTGCCGCGCTCGGAGGCGCAGCCGTGCCCCAGCCCGACGCGGGGCCGCCGTCTCGCCCGTCACAGGCGGCCCGGCCCGGCGGCCAGCGCGGGGCTCATGGCCAAGGTGGGTGCTGGTCCTTGCCCCCTCTCCCGGCTCCTTCCCGCGGGGTGCCCGGCCGGCTCCGCTGGGAGGGGGCGGCAGCGGAGCCTCCCGGGCCCAGGAGCAGCCCCTTGCCTCGCCTCCTCCCGTGGGAGCCAGGGCTGGGATGTGCCCGGCGGTAGGACCTGCTCTTCCTGCCCCGTGGGTCCGGGTGCGGGAGGTGCGTGGGGGCGGGGCCCCCACGGGCACGGGGGGCTGCCGCCGGGGGTTGTTTGTGGGCGGGGAAGGCCGGGGGGCGGAGGGGGGATCGTCGCCTTGTTCCGAGGCTGGTGCTGGGGCGGGAGCGGCGGTGGACGAGCGGAGTGTGAGTTTAGAAACAAAAGAGGAGGCGATAAAGTTGTCCCGCGGTGGCTGTGCCGGAGGCAGGTCTGGCGCGGGGAGCGGTCCCGGCTGCCTGACCTGCCGCCTCCTCGGCGTGTCTGACGGTCGTGTCTCATCCCGTGTGACCTGTCAAGCGCTCGCACCTTCCCCCAGGTCAGCCGCGTCTGTCACATGCCTCCCGAGACAACCGCGTTTGCTGTTCCAAATCGCGAGCAAGCCCAGGGGCTTTAGAGGTGCAAGCCTTGAGACTGATTGAGTGCTCTGGCGGGTCAGTGGGTTGGGACCAGCAGACAGTCTGCCAGGGGAAGGGGATCCTCCAGGCTCTTCAAAGTGGTGCTGTGTGTATGAATGAAAGTTATACTTAGCTCACTGCCTCGTCATTTTAAACTTCCCTTCCTGACATATCCCTAGACGTGAATGCACCAAGGATAGATCTGAAGAGTCGCAGAGGTGTCTCAGTACTTGTTTGACTCGATTCTCCATCTAAACTTAATTTTTTCTTTAACGAAAGCATGTGTTCTTATCTTCCTGGTCACTGCATCTTGTTCAAAGTTAATGCATAAGATGTGATAATCATCATTAGAAATCACTAGGAGTGTGTTGGACTGTGAGTTGAAATTAATACTATTATTACAATGAATAACACTGTAGAAATCAGGGTTGATTTTAAAATCTTGCCAACTGTGTTTTGATATTAATAATATTTTTAACAAGTGTTTAATTTGTGACTTTTTTGAATAGTCCTTTATTTTTTTTTTAACTTAAAGCCCTAGTGACAAAGCAAGATTTAGTGTAATGAGCAAAAAAAGTTCTCTGAATAAGTATTTTTTATCTTTTCTTTAATTGGTGGTAATATTAGCAGTAACTGTGTATCATGAATCTGTCATTAAATCTGTTCTGCTAGTTCTGCAATATATTTATATTTAGGTAATGAAAAACTACTTTTTTAACATTTATTGCTCTGTTAAAAATGGCTTGGTGTTAAGATATGCGGGTTCAGATCCAATAAGCATTCTGTTATCTTGTTAAAGTCAGCAGAACTGCCAGGGAAATTCATTGTCTGTTTTCCTTGGTTAGCAAGTGCATTTGAACAGCACACCCATCTATGCCTGCTTGAAAAGAAACTTGTAGCAGTATAAATCACCAGGTCAGGCCCAAAAACTGCTAACTCCATTCCAAAGGGAAAGAAATTAAGAATTTTATTCCTTGACTGAGATTCCCTACTTACTTCTGTGTCAAGAATGCTTTGGAAATGTGTGTTGAAACAATACACCAGGAGTTGTATGAATATCTGGTTAAAGGGGTTTCCAGGGTTCTACTCATTTTCCAGTTCAGTTCAGTCTCAAATGTTGGTGGTGAATTGTAGTCAAGATAAATTGTTCTCACTTCTGTGTAATTTTTACAGGCAGAGTGCTTTGGAACACTTTTTCATCCTACAAGAAATTTCTGTTGAAGAGAAGACCAATTGTCTTAAATTGCTGCAATGGGCAAGTGGTAGTTTGTGGAAGAATCTAGCTTTGTGAGAAAAAAAACCCGTTTCATAAACTGGAAAAATATAAGACATGGTACTTGGGAAGACTGGTTTGCAGATACATGCATCTGATTCTGCACTTCAGTTCTTGAACTGTAATGTTGATGTGCCTTATCTTTTGAATTGATGTAATTGTTTCTTTTCTTTGTCAACTGGATGAACATAAACAGATGCATTTACTTCCTATGGAAGCAGTTCTCTGCTAAATCTAATGATCCAGTAATAAATTCTATTATTAGGAAGTTAGCAAGACTATTGCTAACAGTCTGTACTCCTACTTATGATAATTCACTGTTAAAAAGTTAGCTTGAAAGTAGCTACATCTGTATTTGTTAGGTGTCTGATTCTGAATGCATTGAAATTAATTTTGTTCACTTCTGTGACCACTGGGACTTGTAGTTTAAGCAAAACAATTTCTTGAATAATGGATGGAATTCACTCCTGAGTAGAGCAGTTTGTAAGATCACTTCAGTCACCAGAAGTATTGTTTAAATTCCTTGTAAATACTAAAATATTGTTTATATTTAGCATGGCTGCAGTGGTTTTATTTCGTATGTGTTGTTCCTGTGCAAATATCTGAGGTGATTTAATCAGTGATGTTTAAAAGAATATCTGGTCAAACTATCATTAAGTTAGAATAAGTAATGTTCTGTCTTTGTTTTATTAAACATGAAGGGTGAAATTAGTTAGTGTAGTGAACTGGCCTCTCTTCCTGCAGCTTGTGTCCAAGTGGACTGTGGCCACCTAGGTTTCTGAAAAAATTGGAATAATCTTAGGAACGAATTGATTAAAATAATCACGTTCAGATGTGCAGGCAAGTTTAGATTTAAAATGTGGCGGTGTATGAGTGCGTTTCCACAGCATCGCAAACTGATCAAAATTGTACCTCCTGCATTCCCAGCCTCTTTCCTTCTTTTCCTTCCTTGTGCCAGTAAGGATTGCACTGGGAGCTGGTTCAGGAAGCTGAACTGCCGGAAAATGAGCAAGTTTTTTTTTTTTATGGTAGAATTAGTTTTTAGTTGACTCAGCACCCTGAACCGACTCAACCTGCAGTTGCATACCTGTCGGTGGCTATGTGAGTGAAGAGGTGGGATCCCAGAGAGGAAGGGAACAGTGGCACTTCACAGGCCTGCATCTGTCAGGACGATGGTGCAGGACTCCAGCCTGCGACCTGCTCTTGCTTTGCATCAGTGTACAGGTGGTGTAGATCAGCTCCACCATTGAAAAACATGGTCCTGTTTGCTTCCACCCCACTCTGCTGCTTCCTCCTTTGTGCAGGCAAATACTTGTATGGTTATGTGGTGAGCTGGGCTGAGGATTGAACTAACCTGGGGGAGGGGCAGGGGCAGGGAGGGGAGGGTTTGGTTTGAGCTGGATCAGTTTGCTGCACAAACATTTGTGCTGGCTCAAAGATGGGGGTGGAAGCAAGCAGTAAGGGGAGCAGGGTGTGTCTGTTTCTTTTGGTGACAGTGACACATTATGCCAGTTTAAAGTATATTTGATACTGGCCTAATTCTGTAAGGTTAAGCTGGTACTGCACTGAGAGTTTGAAGACATTGTTTGGTTATGGTTCATGGGCATATTTTACATCTAAGACCCCTTAAACCACAGTCTAATTTCAGTATGTACTTTGAAGGGATTTTGAGGGAAGAGTCTGGCCTTTTGTATAGTAACTAATTTTTAAAAATATTTCAATTTGGTACCTATTGTTTCATTTAGAGGTATTTAATGGGAAAATATGCTCCTGTTTATAACTGCTGTTCATCCATCAAATTACTGCAACAAATTTGTTCAGCATGTGTATTGAGTTCTTAAATTTTAAAGACTTAAGTAAGAAAAGATAGTGATCAGAGTGTCCACTAAGAAAACTGCAAGATATTTTGCAGCAGTGAGTAGATAAACAAACTGAACAAATCTACAAAAATTGTGAGGCTTCCCTAAGATATACATTATAACTTCAGGCAGTTTCTGGGGAGGCAGTCTGTGAATTCTTAAGTAACTGTAATGGTTAGTGGTTTTCAAAATCTGTCTTAAGGCTTTCAGCCTATCACTGAAGTTGTACTTAGTGTTTCAAGATATGGATAGGCACTGATTTTTATCTTCCCCCCCCAAATATCTGTGAAAACTGTAGATACTGTGTCCCTCAGCCATTTGTCTGTGCTTCTCTGCCGTAGATTACCATGCTAAATGACCCTTTCAAGAGAAGCTGTATGCGGTGTTATGTGCTTTAGGCATAATCAGCAGTTAAATGGACAGTATTAGCTCAACCTGCCTTCAGTGGTCAGTTACTTTGATTAATTTTTCCCAAAGGCAGTTAGTGTGCTCTTAGGTGATTCACTCTGTTTCAAGTCTGAATGGGTGGTAGTCTCTCTTTGCTGGATGGTGGTGAGTAACTCTGGGCAGTAGCTACTGCTGGAAGCCATGACCTATCTGCAGCCTTTAAGTGACGTTTTCTGTAACAAGTGTATTGGGTTTTATTTTTGTCTGCTGCTGAATAAGATAGTTTTTTAACAAAGGTGTTTGAGGAGCTGTTGGCTGAAAACTGCTGCCCAGAGATGTGTAATTTAACACAATGCATGCAGATAATATCTTGATTGTATATAAGCTGTAGAACAGCAGTCCTAATAGACTTTCAGTTTTACGCTCTTAAGCATCATCTTTCCTTGTTGGTCCTTCTGTGTAATCAGTGTTAGATGTGAAGATTCTTTTTGAACTTGAACTGGTAATAAACAGGTGTGTGGTGCTTTCTCTTATAAATATGTTTGCGTATAAATTTGTGTGTCTGTATCATGTATTCTCCACGTATGGTGTATTTTTCAAAGCTTCCTCTTCACTGCATCTGGCAGGGTGGCAACAATCATGACAGCCAATTTAGTTCACTCTTTATTGAGATCCATCTTCCTGCAGCAATGTGATTCTCCAGAATTTCAGTTTTCCCCTCAAGCTTCAAATGACAACAGGAATTATTATCCCTTGTCTTTAAAAAAAAGAGCTAATAACTTATTTCTGATGTTTATACAATAAAAAATCATGATTATTGCATGTTTGGGACTGACTATATACATTCTTTTCTAATTAGTGGAAATGGCATTGTGACTACTGTTTCCTTCTC